TTATCATGCGTAATTACCATCATGGTAACCACTCTGGCTCAATTAATCTAGATAATCGAGTTAGGGTGTTACATTAGCATTCAAAACAGAGGGCAAGTAATATCACAAATACTATTATATTTAACGTTTATTAATATTATAAGATTTAGCTTTTAAAAAATCAGATTCTCCAATACGTTCGTATAATCTCCAAAAAAATTTAACAATTTCCAAGGTGAGTGTTAATATAACTCTAACTTTTACTCTTTAACCAAAATAATAAGGTAATTTTTTTTCTTTTTTTGGTGTTTTATATTTTTTTTTAAAATCCTAATTAAATTAAGGTTTTGGTTTCTAATTTTTTAAACAATATTTACACTGGTTTTTGTATTTTAAATTTAATTTATATTCTTAGTGTATGTTAATTATTTATGGGGAAAGCCTATAAAGAGCATGTAAATGCTTAATACATTATTGCTAAAAAATAATACGTTAAAAGGAGAAAAATGTTATATATGGAAAAAATAATGCTGCTTTGGAATAAAACTACTAACATAAATATAAAATTAATAAAATTCATTAAGGGAAGTATATGCGTTTATAATTATTCCATAAAAATTAATGATTCAAAATCAATTTTTTTTATGCTAAATTATAATTCTAAACCCAAAAATATGAAGTGTTTCATACCCTCTATACGTATATATGGTACACAGATTAGTATGTGTGAATAATTTTAAAAACATTATTCATTAACTGTTCTGGTACGCTTTGTTGTTAAATATTTGAATAACTACTTAAAATATATAATGAATTAATATATTAAAATTAGACTATAATATCCAAATAAAAATACGTTTAATGAAATATTTTTAATTGTTTTTTACTAATATTTTTTAAAAAGTTCCATTGGTCAAACGTATTACTCAAAAAATAAAACTGAGTGTTCAACAAATAGGATTACTAATTGCTAAGATTAACTGAATGAAACTCACAAACCGGAGTGTTAAAAAATAGTATTACTAGTTCTTAGTTTCTTTCAAAATCTAGATCTTTTCTTCCAGTCCTAAAGAACAGGCTTTTAGTTACTATATATGTTCAATTAGTAAAAAAATAAACTAATGTCAAATCACTGCTCCGCATATTAACTGAAAATTGCCAACTCATTAAAATAATAAATATGTGGCTTAGGACTTGTTAAAAATATGCCAAATAAACCCGTCATATGTCAAAGTTCTGTGAGCCGAGTCTCAAATATTATAGTAAACAAAATGATTTAAGTGTCTCAAGTTAAATTCACATGTAGATCATTATTACATCTCCTTTTTTTAATGAGAGAGATTAATAATTTAGAACCTTTAGAACGGTGAGCTTCCAGTGACAAAATACTTCCGGTGACACTCCGGTGCCACTTTCATTTTAGAACACTTCCGGTGCTCTATTTATATAATTGACAGTTCCTATCCTCCTACTCTAGCCTCCCACACTACCCCACCCCAGCCTAAGCCTCCTTTCAAATGTGTGGCTATTATGTAATGCATAATAGCCACACATTTGGAGGGGTTTTGGAGTGGGGCTAGGGCTAATGTGGGGGCAAGGGTAGGGCAAGAACCCTAGGCCGACTTTCTGTCCGTTCTCTCGTCTCTATCTGTCTCGCGTTCAACCAATTCTTTTCGCTTCTTTTATACAAAAATTAATCCAGCTTTAGTGATCAATTTGGATTAGGACTTGAAATTAGGGTTGGAGTTGAAGAAGAAGGCTATCCGGTCGGTTCTTGCGCCTGGGGCTCTTCCTCTTCTACGTTTCTTTCTTTCTTTTTCTTTTATTTATTTCCTTGCTTTAATAATTGGGTCAAAAGGGTGATGGTCAATTACATGTTTGAGCTTGGCCCAATCATTCTATTCCTTTGATTACTTTTGAGCTCCAAAATATATATCTAAAAAGATTGTGTCAAGGAAAATAATGCTTCCAAATAATTGTAAAATATAATCTTGCTCAAAATCATGCATTTTATTTATAAAATGTAAACAATGGCCTAAAATGCTAAATGTGTTAAAATATGAATTTTTATGTAAAAAATGCATACAAAGTGCCTTTAAAATACTATGAAACGAGGGAATAAAATATGATATTTTGTGACTTAACAATATATCTACAGGATTACCTCGAAGCTTAATAATAATTTGGAAATTTTCCAGCGAGGATTGTGGCTAGCTCCAGCGACCTTGACGGAAAATACCTATTGCAGAATGCTCTCCTTACCCTCAGGAACATTATGACACTAAGTTTATTCAATTTAGTGGAGAAATGAGAAGATTGAGTTCTACTCATATAGGGAAGAAGTGAACAAAACAAATGATGAGTGTGTGCTGCGTAGGAAGATTCAAGTTCGGCGATAGTGAAGGTGGAGGCCTCGTCCCTTGATTGGGACTAATTTAGTTCCAGTCGGGGTACACTTTTTTGTCCAACTTTCTCCGAATTGAGTTTCGTTTGCACCATTGTGATCAGACTGTCAAATTCTATCCAACGATATAATTATTATAATAATTTGTAATACTTTTTCCGACATCATATTTTTGAGTGTTTGACTTTGACAGAGTCAAAATTGATTTATTTTTCTTTTATTCAAAAAGTTTTTCACATTTAATATATATGATTTATTTCAATAAATCGTTTCAAAGTTAACACCATAAACAAATTATTTATTTATTCTTAATTTGAGTTTGTACTCAGATTCCCAATCAAGATTACACGATGAGTCAAAATATTGGATTTATCTTTATGATATATATATATATATATTGATTGTGTATATATATATATATATATATATATAGACAATCCGGTCTTACTGGTCCGACCCGGAAACGATCCGGTCTTCGACCGGAATTTTACCAGTCCCAAAACCTTTTTTGGAAAGTGTAAAATTCAATACTACTCCCTCCGTCCCTAAATATTCCATGGACATTTTTGGAAATTCAATACTACTCCCTCAGTCCCTAAATATTTGTCACACTTTCCTTTTTCATCCGTCCCAAAAAATTCACCACATTTCTAATAATGGAAAGTGAATTATTATCTTAAGACTATTATACCCCTGGTCTTTTAAACTGCATCCAGAATCCTTATCTGGCTTCCTTACATTCCCACCACACTCTTCGTCTTCTCCACCATCTGATCTCATCTTCTCCGCCACATTCTCAAATTCCTTTCGGCCACAATCTTCGTCTTCTCTACTCCCTAATCTATGGGTAATCCAGATCCCTCATATCCCAATTTTAATATGTTGATTGAGGAATCACCCTCGCAAGGTGCCCATCAATCTTTGGAGGATTTTGAGCCGTTCCTCAAAGTGGCAACAATTCAACAATCCCGACGGCGGATCATCAAAGAAAAGATCATCCGTCGACGCCGAGGTTGAGGTCGACAACATTATCAGTTCGTCCGAACAAATGCCCCCCTTCAACGTTGCGAATTCCGATGACGAGGACCCCATTCCACGGTCGATCGGAAGAAAGAAGGCAAAATACATTGCCTCGGGTTCTGGAGGGTCCGGCTCTGTTTCGGTTTCTTCTCGCGAAGATATCGGTCGGGCAATGGTTGAACAATTTCGGGTGTTCAATATTTGAGAAGAAGAGAGGATGAAGCGAAAGGAGCAGAAGGACGAGATAAAAATCATGGAAACCGAACTTTCTAAGTTATTGGGCTTCAAACGGATGATCTTCGAGCAAAGACAAAAAGAGATCAAGGCCAAATATAATTTACCCTAGTTTTTTTATTAATGTATCTTTTTTATTATTGTCGTTTTCTTTTTTTAATTTAATGAATGTAATTTTTTAAAATTATTATCATTTCAATTTCTTTAAATTTAATGAATGTATTTTTTATTATTCGTGTTTCAATATAATTAAATAATAAATTAATTAAATTTTATTAATTTAGTTTTAGAATATGTATATTTAAAAATGTAAAAAATGAAGGTTTGAAGCCCCAGTTTGAAGCCTCGGAGCTTCAAACCCATTCCCACCGAATCTATAAGGTAAGTTAAAGTTGACGTGGCAAAGAGAGAAATTTTGAAGCCCGGGGCTTCATGAGTATTTCTTGTGCTCTTAGATTCATAATTACATTGAGAGAGATTAAAGATTAGAATACAACTAGTGTGCTTATTAGACGTTATGCTTATAGTTCTTAAATGGAAAAAAAGACCAAAGTAAGAGTAGAACATTAAAAATATACTAAAATATGAATTTCAAAATTTTATTCTTAAATAGAATTTAAAATACATTTATAATGTGAATTATGACCATATACATTACATAAAGTATTGGAAATGTCCATAAAAAGTCTAATCTCTCCGTTTCAAAATAAAAATCTTAGCTACTATTCAGAGATCAAAATAAGTCTACTTTCTTCAAACATTTTCATCAACAATTTAATAAAATAAAATAACATTATAACCACTTGTTTTGTAAACTTTTAATGTGGTTTTTTTGATATATAATTTTTTAGTTTTTAATTTTACAACAATTTGTACTTATATTGATTTGAAAATAACTTCAATCAACTATAGTGACTCGAACAAACACTTTATTTTGAGAAGGGTTGAGTATAAAATTAGAGGTGACATTACTATATTATTTTATTAAATAGATAAAAAAAATATGACAATAATGTGAATAAATTTTTGAATAGTAAATTGAAAGAAAATTTGTGAACGGGGAGAATATTTATTAGGGTCAATTTTTTTGAGTTGGCCAAACATAAACAATTCATTTCGCAAGACAAAAAGAAGCTTTTTGCCTATGTGGGGCTCAAACCCAAATCGCCTTGCATTTTTGAGTTGGCCAAACAATAACTTCAATGATTTTACTACTATATAACTTTTATGTTACTCAAGTGTAACCATAAAGGCCTATGTGAACCGAAATCTCCTTGCATTTTTTAACATGGTGCACTACCATTGAGTTAACAATGGGCTAAGAAAATATCTCAAATAGTAATAGAAAACTCTATAGTTTTTTTTAAACAGTAGATGTTTACTTATCAAAGTATACTGACAAATGGGTCGGTTGGCTAAATATGCCACATTCATCCGATGGGTGAGTGCTGTATGGAAATCAAGACATATGACCGACATAATTTGTGGAATTTTATAGGGTTGGCTCCTTAAAAAAAAGTATATTGACAAATAATTAAAAGTGTGTATGACCCCAAAATGCATATGAGTATATGCTACAATTCTATCATTGCACAATTTATTGGAGTAGAAGTAAAACACTTTTGAGGCCAACTGATCAGCTCCAAAAGCAGTGACCTACAATGCACCAACAAACAACACATGGATTAGCTCTCTAAAAAAGCATCACCGAGTTCAACAAGAACTCCGTATAATGGATCAAAGTATGTAGATAAACTGCCAGGTGAACGGTGATAATACGTATGCAGTACGAATCTATGTAAGAATAAGACTTCCAGAAATCGAACTCGGGTCTACCTACTTGGCACTCCCACCTGGTACTGTCCTTAGAAGGTTGGACAGTATCATGGTGAATCAAGACTGCCATCATTTAAGCAGAGTTGGGTCAGATCACAAACAGGTGATCTTAGAAAGCATTATGAATGATTTTGTAGGCCCTAAACCTTTCAGATTTTTAAATTTCTGGGCTAAAAACGATAGCTATTAACATACTGTTAGCCAACAAATTTGGTGGCAGGATGAGGGGGTTGTCACTTAAACTAAAAACATTAAAGCCTATTCTGCAGACCTGGAACAAGTCGACTTTTGGCAACATATTCAATTCAAAGAGTTAGAGGAGACTGAAAAGATGGCTAAATTGGCAGAAGACATATATAAAGCAGACTAAAGCCCCAATAATAGAGAAGCAATGAACCTGACTAATGCTAGGCTTTTAAAAGCAACAAAGAGAGAGGAGCTATTCCAGGCTCAAAAGGCTAATATCACTTGGCTGAAGGAAGGGGATGCACCCACAAAATACTTATTTTCCATTGTCAAAGGTAGAAGGAAAAGTATTACTATCAACCAAATATCACCAGAAACTTTCACAAGGAGCTGGAGGGAATACCAAAAAAAAAAGTAGCAGAGGATCACGTCCAAAAGGTGTTCAACTTAGTTCACTCAGGCAGCATAGAGCAAATATTTGAAGCACATTCCTCAACCAGTAACTGAAAATGACAACAATATCATAGTGCGGTAATGATATATTTTTTACTTCTTTTTTTCTTTCTCCATTTTAATTTTATTGATGAATTAATTCATTTTGTTGCAATGACTAGTTTTGTTATGAAATGGCGAATTGATGTAATAATTATGAGTATACTTTTCTACGTTTTGGTGAGTGGAGAGATAAAGATGTGCTGAGCATAAATATGCAACATGAAGAATGGTGCATGTATGAAAATACATAAATAAATATCATGGCAAGAAGTTGTGTGCATTTAAAATGTACCTGATGAAATCCATTCTCACTCTTTGATCATTCAATACTTATGTAGCGAACATGAGCTATCTTTCTCCAATCCTTCCCTCTCACTTGGTCGTAGATTTTCTTTAATTTAGGGCAGTGTGTAATTACAAGACATTCAAGAGTAGTAGCAAATTGTCCATTGCGAGGAAGAGATGATATATTTGGACAAGAGTAGAATATTAATTCCTTAAGGGAATAGAGGTGTGAAAGCACTGGGAGTGAAACCAGTTTGGGCATAATCCAACCTCCAACTTTTCTAAGCATGGGAAGTCCCCCTTTTGTGCTCCTACCCACTCTTGCAATGCCGGCATTTCATACAATGACAGCTCCTTTAAACAAGGAAAGGTCGGCATATCATCTCCATCTCTACCACACAATTGCTTATTATCTATTCTTTGGAGTTGATGCATACCGCTGATACACAAACATTTGAGACGTGGCAATTTACCAAAAGGAGTAAGGGATTCACAACAATTCAGACAACAACGAAGCGCAATGAGTGTTAGATGCTGATAAGATGGGTGAGCAATCCAACTTGGGAGCTTCAAACCACCATAACTCAATATTCTCAACTCTTCAATGCCCAAAGGGGGTTGTAGGTACTCAAGGATTTGCTCTTGTCGTTTAGTGGCATCATCATTGCTTAGTGCTGCTACGATACTCCATCTTAATGATAGGCTCCGTAGAAACTCCTTGCTCTTCAAATTGGCATCCCTTGCTTCCTCCCAATGAGAGACATTCTCCATACTTACGATCCAAAGCTCGCCAGTAAGATTCGTCATATTCTTAAGCTCCACAATCTGACACCCATTGTTGTTATTGCCAACAATAAATGCGGACATAGTCTGAAGAGCAGTCAAGTTACCAATTCCAGGAGGAATATATTGCAATTGCTTGATAATGTCGAGAACAAGATGCCTCAACTTGGTGAGCTTCCCAATGCCATCAGGCAAACGTCTTAGGCTGGAACAACTTTTAAGCCTTATAGTTTGAAAGATCCCCAAGGCTAACGATTGCTTGAGGCAATTCTCGAATGCAAGTGTATGAGAGATCAAGATATCGAAGCGATTTCAAATTAAGGACGGATAAAGGAAGCTCGGATATATGACTAGTGCGAAGGATCAACGATTCCAAGTGGGTGAGACTGAAGAAGGCATCACGCAGGAGCCTTTCAAGAGGTAAACTAGGTGCAGCAGAGAGGAAAAGAAGCGTTTGCAATTGTGGAAACCTTTTCAATGAGGCTGAGTTGAAATTCAATTGTCGACTGCTTTTATTGTCGATGCACAAGTGCTTAACACTAGTTTGAGGTACATCATCCATCATGTCTGGTTGTCCACTATCCAACACGGTTGTGTATTCATGTGTCGTATCATATGGGAACCTGATCTTGGAGGGATTAGCTTCATAATTAAAGTGACGAGGGCTGGGGACAATAAACTGACGGGAACTTAGAGAAGCAAACATTTTGGCAGCTTCGACCTCAGCCTCTCTGTTTGAAAATGGAAAGAGGCCTTGAGCTACCCACAATTGAATCATTGCTTCTTTTTCGAATCCGTAATCGCTCGGATACAGACAACATGTATATATGAATGGTAATTCATTATCAACCGCGAACTCCGTTTTTCCTGATCCTGGCTTCTCCATCCCAATTTGAATCTTATAGTATGATTTTTCGTTCTTCCCGTAAGTTATCAAGCCCTCCCCTGCCTCTTCTTCTTCTTCTCTGCGCCGTCCCTAAATTTAGCCACAAATCTAAACAAAATCAAAATCTGAAGAAAAACTATTGCTGAAATCACAAACGGAAGAAAAATAATCAATCTCAGATTTAGCCCCAAATCTAAACAAAATCAAAATTTGAAGAAAAACTATTGCTGAGAACACAAATGGCGAAAAAAATCAATCCCTGACAAAATTAAACATGCCCAGCCTGTTCCGAATGCCATGCACCTGGAAAAAAACTATGACCGAGATCGAAAATAAAACCAAACCCGCCTGGATCTAGCCGTCAGCCCTAGCAGGCTCGCAGCTACTCCTCGCCGTTGCCCCTTGGCCGCCGCCAAAGAAAAGGAAATTCTAACAGGAACAAAGGATGTTGGGATATATTTAGATGGCATCAGAGAAATGGAAAGGGTCTGATACTTATTTTTTTTTCTTTTTGTTGGTGATTACAGTATACCTGAGTAAAGATTAAACCTCTATTTATAGTAGGCAACATTGGTTCCTAATGTCATGGGATGATCTGGGGTGCTCCGGTGCACCATTCGTTAAATTGGCGATTCCTACCCTTCCTAACCCCCCGGTAAACCCTCCGCCCCGACCCGACCCGAACACACCCCGCACTCCCTTCAATTGCACCCCACAAGTCGATTTTGACTTTGGAGTCGAAATTGGACTCCAAAGTCAAAATCGACTTGTGGGGTGCAATTGAAGGGGGTGGAGGGGTGTTCGGGTCGGTGCGGGGTGGGAGGGTTTACCGAGGAGTTAGGAGGGGTAGGAACTGTCAATTTTACGAATGGGGCACCAGAGCGCCCCCGGGTCATCCCATGACATTGATTCCCAATGTCATGGGAACCAAGGGGTTATAGTAGAGGAGCTTAATATAAACACCAACACACGCAATATGAAGTTATGAACACATCTATAACTCTAGAAGTGGAGGGAACTATACATTTTGTTGTTACAATTAATATGTTATTTAGACATTAGAAAAAGATGATTTAATTAATTTAAGAATGAATTATTCACTAATTTCATAACATTCCCCTTGAATGTTCATTTTTCAATTAATGATATTTATTTCGTGGATAGGACAAAGTTTTGACACTCATCTTTATGTTATGTACTGTCTTGTTAAAAACCTTGTTAGGAAAAATCCAGTGGGATAAAAACCTTATCTATGGAAAAGGAATACAGCACATAAAATTTCCACCCTCGGCTTAGCATAATTGACGGAGGCAATACATGCCAATCTTGTGTATGATTTCTTCAAATTTCTTTGGGGCAATGCTTTTTTAAATAATTAGCAGAGTTCTCACTGTACTTGATTTGCTTGATGTCAACCTTTCCATCTTTCTCAAGATCATGTGTTGAGAAGAACTTTGATGATATATGTTTTGTTCGGTCACCTTTCATGGAGCCTTCTTTAACTTCAACAATGCATGTGGTGTTGTCTTCATATATAGAAGTCAGATTGCTAGTGATTGTTTCAATACCACACTCACTCTAGATATGTTGGATCATTGATCGCAACCATACACATTCTCTACCTGTTGTAGAGAGCTATCAACTCTACATGATTTGATGAAGTGGCGGTCAAAGTTTGCTTCAGTGATCTCCATGACATTGCGGTATCTCCATAAGTAATCATATGTCCTGTTTGAGATTTTGCCTTTTGTGGACCGTATAAATATTCTGCATCAGCGTATCCAACAGGAGTGACATTGGCATTTTTGTGGTAGAATAGACCAAGGTCGATGGTACCATTGAGATATCGGGAAATGTGTTTAATGCAATTCCAATGCCTTCTAGTCGGGATTGAACTGCGTGTGGCTAACTAGTTCACTGAGAATGCATTATCTGATCGAGTGTTATTTTCTAGATACATCAAAGCTCTAATAGCATATAAGTACGAAATTTCTAGACCAAGTATTTCTTCATCATCTTCACGAGGTTGAAAAGGATCATCATGCACATTGAGAAAGCGGACAATCATCGGGGATGTGGTTGGATGTCCTTTATCCATGTAAAACCGCATCAGAACCGTCTTCGTATAATTTGACTAGTGGACGCATTTTCCATCCTTCAAATTGTCAATTTGAAGATCGAGATGATATTTTGTTTTCTTAAGATCCTTCATCTCAAATTCTTTCATTAGATATTTTATATTGTTTTCTATTTCAACAGAAGTTCAATGATGTTTAAATCATCATCATATAATTCAATTATGACAAAACCTAATTTGGATCAACGGATAAAAACACATGGACTTATCACATCATTTTTAAACTCTTTTCTTAGTAGATATTCACCGAGACAATTATACTACATTCTGCAAGATTGTTTTTGTCCATATAGCGACTTTTCTAATCTTATGGAAAACATCTCTCAAGGTTTTAAACTATAAACCTCAGGCAATTTTAGGCGTCTAAGAACTTTCATATAAATGTCAGTATTTAGAGATTCTCACAAATAATCTTTCATTACATCCTTTAAATGCATTTGAAGCTTTTCAAAAACAAACATGCCTATCAAAAGTCTCAATGTAGTTGCATCAACTACTGGGAATAAGTTTCTTCATAATCTATCCTTGGGATTCGAGAAAAACCTTGGGCAACGAGTCGGGCTTTATATATCATAATTTTATTTTTCTCATTGCACTTGCACACAAAAACCCATTTGAAACCAATTGGTTTCACTCCCTTTGGCGTCGGAACTATATGCCCAAAAGCATTTCATTTTTCAAGTGATTTCAGTTTTGCCTGATTACTTCATTCCATTTTGACCAATCATGTCTTTGTTGGCATTCATCAATTAAAGTTGGCTCAATGTCATCATTTTCATCTATGATGTTTGTGGCAATGGCATATGCAAATATATCATCTACATAAACATTTTTTTGTTCCATTGCAATCCCGTAGAAACGTAATTTATTGAGATTTCATAATTATCAACGTTTCTATCTTAATCTGAGTGCTTTACATCTTTAGAGATTGTTAAATCCTCATTTGAAACAATTTGTTTGTTGATATTTTTTTATAACATGCTCAGTTTGTTCATTTTCATTTCCTGAAGAATGAACGTTGATGAGTTTGTTTTGTACTTACTTATCTTCTCTATGTTTGATGTGTTATTGTCTAATTTTAGATCAATCAAGACAATTTATCATTGGTTTTTATAAGTTTTTGTTTATAATTGTAAAAATACACAAAAGTCATATCTTCTTGTAAAAATAATAAAAGTTAAGTCAAAAGTGCTGCAAAAATAAACATGTAATTCATGGATGTGGTGAAAAACCTGATGTTTGAAAGCAAAAAACTCAAAAATTTGGAGCAGATGCAAAAGATGCCGACAGACTTTAAGAAGACTATGGAACAACAAAATCTCCAAATTCAAAATCAAAAATTGGAGAAAACGTTTGTTCTTGGAGAGGATGAAGAATCAGAGACAAAATTTGACACTGAATCAAAATATGTCTCAATTCTTAAATATCAACAGAGTCTATCACCATTGTATATCGAAAAAAAGATATTAGTTGCAGAAATAATTGCACGAGATGCAATGGTGATGCTTCCTGAAAGTCTTCAAAATCAAATCGTACAAAAGGTGGAACCCATTGAAGATCATGTCTCATAACCGCCTATACCCGCTGAACTAAAAAAGATGGAGGAATTCATGGATTTGGCTGAACACACACACACACACACACACACACACACATATATATATATATTTATATATATATATATATATATAGGTTTTGGTTCAAATAAGAATAAGATCTAATGAAAGAAATGAGAATGAATTTGAATCGTTAGATCTAATAATGCATGTGCTGACTTGCGCTAACTCCTCTAGGGCATTTTGGGTTTTAGACATCTCAATCTTATCTCATTTTATTCTCTCCCCCATTTATTCCCGTAAGATCTGCTCCTTCTACACGACCATCTTCCTCGTAGTCACGTAAAGATTTCATTCTTCTATAGGGGATTCATTATCCGATCAAAGGCTCTCCATCTTCAGCTAGGGTTTGTTCATAACATTGATAAGAGATTCCATTTTGGATTCGAGTAAGTCTCCTTGTTTGTCAACTTTCATTTTAAAAAACCCTCTTTTAGATTAATCTGCACACAATTTCAAATTTGGTGAGTTGCAAGTATCAATTTCTCAATTAATAATTTCGGTAATTGTGAATTTCTTTTAGTCAAGTGAAAACAAGAGTTCTTTTTCACGATGGGAGGGGTTGAATAGACAATTTCAATATTTGTTTCGATTCAAGTAGCTATGTCTTGTTTTTCTCTTTTTTTCTGGCATATATATATATATATATATATATATATATGTCAAATTTTCAATACCATTTTGGGCAGTGGTATCCAATATGGATGTAGATTGGTTTGATTTTATAATGCAGTTATATAGTCAATAAATCTATTAAGATTTCTTATTTGACTACTTCAAGAAGTTAACTTTTGTGTGATGCATTTCTCGCTAGAACCACGTCCTATTTTTCTCTGCTAATTATTTCTGATCTTACTTGCATTAAAGGTATTCACAGTACATTTCAAAACAATTAGGTATGTTAGTCGGTTTAGTCGTTGTGCCCACGCCTTAGAGGGGGGTGAATAAGGCGTTTTAAAATCTTTTTGGAGTTTAATAAAAACGGTGTTGGCAAATGCGGAAGCAATGTATAAAACGCAGAAATAAAAGCGTAAATAAAATGCACACCGATTTTATACTGGTTCGGGAACTCCCTACTCCAGTACCTCGAGGCTCCTCCTCAAGGATTTCCGAATCCACTAAGTCCCGGTCTCTTGAACTCCGTCAAAGCACCGCACTAGTTTGGCAAACAACCCTTGCCAATAGGATTCACTCCGAGATTTCACCACGGCTATCTCGAACCGTTTACAACAAAGATTTAACGGCTATCTTCTACCGTTCCCCCAAGGATTTCAAAGGCTATCCGTGAACCTTTACCCAAGGATTTATACGGCTATCCTCGACCGATACAATATGAGAATTTAACGGCTATTCTCGACCGTATGAAGAAGTGTTTGAAAAACACAAAAGAGGATTCTACACAACGGCTAGAATATAAAAATGAAGAACAAAACTTAGCCGGTGTAGAAAGAAAGTATACTCTCTCAAAAATACAATTCAAACTTATGAATATGAGAGTATATAACTAGAAACACAAGCTCAAAGTGTGTGTATAAAAATCAGGAATTTAAGGCTCTTGAAATAGCCAAAATATTGATGAAAATAATTAATAAAAGAATGAACACGCTTAGAATATAAAGGGAGGATGTTTAGAGCTTTGTTTCTTAAAGAAATATGAAGGATTAGGCTTGTATTTATAGTGGAAGATGTTAATTAGCCGTTGGGAGGTGATTAGGGTTGATTTAATTCAAAATCACAAATCAAGAACACTAACCTAACGGTCACGGTAGGGGGGT